CTCATTATTATACATTGCCAAATTTCGCATGGGACGCGATGCTTCTAAAAACTGGTGTTGAAATAGAACAATTGCATGACCAAGAAATGTTTGAGATGGTTGAAAAGGGAATGAGAGGAGGAATGTGTCAAGTCAGTCATAAATTAGCAGTGGCAAATAATAAGTATATGGGGGAAGCATATGATGAGAACAAGCCATCAAATTATATTAGTTACTTGGATGCTAATAACTTGTATGGTTTGGCAATGTCCCAGAAGTTACCGCTAAAAAATATCAAGTGGGCAAAGAAAACTCCCATTGTTGAAAAATGGAATGAAAGCGATGAGTTCGGTTATATTATGGAAGTTGATTTGGAATATCCCGAAACATTGCATGATTTCCACTCCGACTATCCACTAGCGCCTGAAATAATGAATGTAAATGTGAATATGCTTTCCGACTATCAAAAGCAAGTCTTCAAAATATATTATGATGGTAAAAGTCCCAAGGACGAGAAAACAAGTAAGTTAATATTAAATCTAAAGGATAAAGAAAAATATGTGGTTCATATCAAGACTTTACAGTATTATTTGAAAATGGGAATGAAAATGGGTAAAGTCCATAGGATAATAAAATTTCAACAGAGGGCATGGTTGAAACCGTGGATTGACTTCAACACTGGTAAAAGGAAAGAAGCCAAAAGCGATTTTGAGAAAGATTTATGCAAATTAATGAACAATTCTGTGTATGGAAAAACTATGGAAGACAAACGAAATCATATGGACTTTGAATTAGTTGATAATGAGGTAAGATATGAAAAATGTGTTAATAATCCAACATTCAAAAATAGATTTATTATTAATGAAAACCTTGTAGGAGTTGAAAAAACTAAAGCGAAACTGAAACTGGACAAACCGATTTTCTTAGGAATGACAATCCTTGACATCAGTAAATTACATATGTATCAGTTCTACTATGATGTTCTTAAGAAGAAATACAATGAAAACATCAAACTGGTTTATACTGATACTGACAGTTATGTAATTCAAACATTCACTGAGGACATCTACAAGGACTTCAAAGAATTAAACCAATATATGGACTTTAGCGATTATCCACCTGAACACCCCTGCCATGACAAAACAAATAAGAAAAAACTCGGTTATTTCAAGGATGAGTGCAACGGTCAAACAATAACACAATTCATAGGGTTAAAGCCCAAATCGTATGCTTTTACAATACACGGTGAAGAAGAAGAACAAAAGAAATCAAAAGGTGTAGTGAAACACAAGGTGAAGAAAGAACTGACTTACCAAAACTACCACGAAGCATTATTTCAAAACAAAAAGCATGAAATAACATATAATTTTATTCGTAGTCGCAACCATCAATTATTTTCAATGTCTCAAGTCAAGCAATCACTCAGTAATTGTGAAAATAAAAGGTTTTACATTGATGCTTTCAATTCACTGCCTTATGGACATTATAAACTGCGTTAAAGAAAAGATACATTAGGTTATTAATGGATAGCAGTAAATATAGAAATGCAAAGATTTACAAAATAACTGATATAGGTTATAATAAGTGCTACATCGGAAGCACCTGTGAAAGCTTGAGCCAAAGAATGGCAAGACATAGACAAAATTATAACAAGGCAGAACAATGGAATAATAAAACAAACTGTCGTTTGTTGTTTGATGAATATGGAATGGACAACTGTAACATTGAATTATTAGAAGACTACCCATGTGAAAACAGAGAACAGTTATTGAAAAGAGAAGGTTATTACATTCAAAATAATGATTGTGTGAATAGATGTGTGGCAGGTAGAACAATTAATGAGTGGAAGGAAGACAATAAGGAACACTATCAAAATATGAGGAAGGAATACTCGGAAAAGAACAAGGAACATATATGTGATAAAAGTAGGGAACATTACCATCAAAACAAAGAAGCAATCCTTGAAAAAAGAAAAGAAATTATTGAATGTGAATGTGGTGGTGTTTTTAGGAAATGTGATATAAGAAGGCACGAGCGAAGCGACAAACATCAACGATATGTATGTGAAAATATTAATATCTAAATATCTCTAATAAGAATGAAATTATTAGAGATGTTTAGCGGGACAGGCTCGGTTGGTCGGTTGCTCGGGATTTGGGTTTTAGTGTTATTTCCCTTGATTTGAAAAATGCAAATATCAATACTGATATTTTGAGTTGGGATTATCGTGAGTTTGATGTGGGCGAGTTTGATGTTGTGTGGGCATCTCCTCCATGCACTGAATACAGTCGTGCTAAAACTACTGGTGTCCGTAAGATTGATTATGCAAATAGTATCGTTTTAAAAACCCTTGAAATTATAGATTATTTTAAGCCTAAATGCTGGATAATAGAAAATCCCCAAACAGGACTATTAAAGGAACAACCGTTTATGAGTGGGTTGAAATACTATGATGTGGATTAATGTAAATATGGCATGAACTACAGGAAGCGAACGAGGTTGTGGTCAAACATTGAAACATGGAAACCCAGACCATTATGCAAAAGGGATTGTGGGAAAATTAGGAATGGGAAACATTTAGAAACTGCCATCGGGTAAAAAATCAGATTGGGGTGAGGGATACATCAAACATAAACAAGATGAGTTGTATAAAATTCCTACTGATTTGATTAGTGATATACTTGTTAAAACCTACCCGCCCGATACCTTGTAGTCGTCGAGGGAGGTGCCTTCTGACAAACAGGACTCACACGTTGGGTTGGGGTTGTTGTTGTGGTGGGAAACAGTGTCAATTGCTGAACACCGCAATTGGAATTGCATAACACCGCAATTGGAATTGCATAACATCGCAATTAGAACCCCGAAATGGTCAATTTAGGTGGGGTTTCCAAATTGCGCAATTAACACAATAGGCTCTGACAATTAGAGTGTTGCAATTGGAGGAATGAGATGAAGCAATTTACACCCCGAGACCTGTGTAATTCAAAACTAAACCATAATTATAACCTTTATATTCTTATATGTTATAATTATAGCGAACTTTTAACCTATAAAACATAGCTAGACAATCACATAAAAATCACACAACAAGAAGTTGTTAAGATATATTAAGAATGGTTGTGAAGCAAACTATAATGAATAATTATAGAATGATAGAAGAAAAAGCAAAAGAAGACTATGGTATTTGGAAATGTAAAAAGTGGAAGAAGATATAAATATTGTCAAGAGTGTAGAACGAAAATAAATAATTGTAGAGATAAACGTCAAAGAAAACAAACGACCCACCAACACCCCAGAACTTGATAACTACTAAAAGGGTTAACTCTTTCAAATGAAAAAAATGTCGGCCCCCAGCCCAACAATGAACAAGGCGACAATTTACCCAAATGATTACCTTAACGAAAACGATAAACAAGCTCCCCAAAAACACCCTTTTAAAAACGAATAAGGGGGAACACAGATTTGAGATGAACATAAAAACCAGAACAGGCAACCCTCAACAGGCTTCCCCTCAGGGCCCCCCTTTTCTCCATTTTTTTTTTGGGGGGGGGGGGGGGGGTAGCAACACGGAACACGGGACATATATGCTCACCCCCCCCCCCCGGGGGGGTAGCAACACGGAACACGGGACCATATATGCTCACCCCTCCCCCCCCCAGGGCCTACCTTTCCACTTCAAAATGTACAACCAACTCCTCTTACTTCAAAATGTACAAAACCCTCTTATTTTTAAGGACAGGGGGTGTGAGCATATATACGCAAGAAGTGTGCTGTTGCTGCATATTTTTTTGTCGGTGACAAGTCATGATGTTGAGTAACAACAGCAGAGAGTTTATAAACTTTCAAGACAGTTTATAAACCATGTCAAGGGTTTGACGGTTTCCTTGCAACAAGGGCAGGGGGGGGGGGTACTGAGAAGTCTTTACAAAATGGCTTGGTTTCTCAATGGCATCAAAGCTGGCCACAGGCTCAAAAAAATGCAGAAAATGCAAAAATCCAGACCAATCAAGCCCTGACCTCTGACTTGCATCTGGGTTTTGCATTTGTTGCATTTTTTTGGAGCCTGTGCAGGTTTTGGAGCTTCCTGGTTTGGATTTTTTGCATTTTTTTGAGCCTGTGCAGGTTTTAAGCACCCAAGGCTCCAAAACCTGCACAGGCTCAAATAAATGCAAAAAATGCAAACCAGGAAGCCTCAAAACCTGCACAGGCTCAAAAAATGCAAAAAATGCAAAAATCCAGACCAATCAAGCTCTGACCTCTGACTTGCATCTGGGTTTTGCATTTTTTGTATTTTTTGAGCCTGTGCAGGTTTTGGAGCTTCCAGGTTTGTTTTTTTGCATTTGTTTGAGCCTGTGCAGGTTTTAAGCACCCAAGGCTCCAAAACCTGCACAGGCTCAAACAAATGCAAAAAATGCAAAAATCCAGACCAATCAAGCTCTGACCTCTGACTTGCATCTGGGTTTTGCATTTGTTGCATTTTTTTGAGCCTGTGCAGGTTTTGGAGCTTCCAGGTTTGGTTTTTTTTTGCATTTTTTGAGCCTGTGCAGGTTTTGACGCTGAAACCATCAAAAACGTTAAAAAAAACAAGTGTTTTTTGCAGTTTCCTTAAAAAAACACTGCACATAACAGTGATTTCACTACTGACAAAGTTGCATCTGAAAACGCTTTCCGTTTTCGTGCTTGTTGCTTTCTCGAATCCTGTTTTGCATCAAGTACAGAAAGCACATCTGAGACAATATCAAAAATTGCACAACAACACCGTAAATTACAGTGCTGTCTGCAAGGCATCTGCAAACCAAGTGGACACTGAACATCTGCAAATAAATCTCTGTCATGCAAAAAGTAGAAAGGTAGGCCCTGGGGGGGGGGGTGACCATATATATATATATGTATGTATTTGCGTGTTAGCAAATGTTTTTGTGTTGTCGTTTTTTGCTTGCTTGCTTGCTTGCTTGCTTGCTTGCTTGCTGGCTTGCTCGCTTATTTTGCTGCGAATGTCCTGGGAGCCCATGCATTGCAAGGCCCTGTGCAGCAAGCCAGCAGGGGACCAAGTTGCAACGGCGGGGGTGTGTTTGTGCCCCTGCTCGAGGGGCCCCTTCGCACTGCCCCAGGACATGTTGAGTTTTAGTTATTACGTCAGACTTCATCACAACAATTTAGGGTGTCATCCAAAACGTTTTTGGGATGGTTCAAACAATTTCAAACATCAACCTCCGAATTTATCCATGTCCCCTTTGCGAGTTTCTAGCAGTAGCGTAGGAGGAGAAGTAGCAGCAGCAGTAGCAGTAGTAGTGGTGGTGGTGGTAGTAGTAGTGGTGGTGGTGCTGGCGGTGGTGGTGGTGGTGGTGGTAGTAGTAGTAGTAGTAGTAGTAGTAGTAGTAGTTTGTTGCACGGAACCCAAGGTTCATCCCTTTGTAGAGTGCTTTCTTCGGGGAGCGAATGCGGAGCCCCCTTACTGGGCTACCTTTCGGCTTTCCGCCGCGGTCCAAAAGGGTTTTATTGGTGGGACCAACCCCTGTTTCCACACCTAAATCCCAGTTGTTCAGGGCATTCCGCCCTTATTAACGAAATCTTGTGTGTGTATTCATACATATCGACTACGGATTGGCAGAGCTGGTATTTTGCTCGTCTAACTCGCTCTGAAAGAGGTTGTGTAGTCACTTTGTAGGAGTTTTTTTCGGCAACTTGTCAGACCTGAGGTTTTTCTCCATCTTTCTTCTCCCCCCCTACGATGCTTTCCTGTGCCTGGGAGCTTGCAGGCTGAACGAGCCAAAGAGCATGGGAAACCTTTAGATCAAAGGGTAAGTCCCTCTTTACTTGGGTGGATCCCCAGCAAACATGTAATATGTAAGCCTTTTATTTAAAAAATAAAAAAGAGCACCTCCTTTGGGTGTCCATTTGGAAGGCACCTATTCTATTTGCTTTTCAACTCTACCCTACACTGCTTACCTTCAGGCTTGACATGAGAGGCCTGCATGGAGATGTTCAACTGTTCTATCGTGTCGTTTTGTTTCCCTTCAAACCAAATTTGGATGTGCCAATCGGACCCAATGGGAGCTGCTTGAATATTCGGCCAAGTCAGTCAGTGATTCGCCACTTGGATTATCACCCCCTAGCAAGGTGAAGCCCACCTAGGGGAAAACATGAGGGTTATAACCTGGATGAGTTATGAAAACCACTTAGTAACTTGGCGAACCGAGCACCCAAGTACCCTGAAGGTGTCCGCGAAATTGACGGATTTGTCCGTTGCCTGGACTAGACGGGTTCTTGCAAAAGCAAGGGTTGCTGATCGCGCAAGCGGCCAGAGGGCAATGTGTGCAGCATCCAAAGGAGCCCATGTGTTAGAAATTCTGCTTGGGTGCGCGACCTTTTTTGATTTTTCCTTTGGAAACAAGCTGTTTCCACAAGACAACACTTTTTGCGAGGATTTGTTTGTGTTTTCCACCCAAACAATCCTTTGCTGCCAAATAAAAAAAATAACACTTGTTTTCCCAGCAACCGGACTAAGTGTCCTACCCATCCAACCCAGACTAAGGCGTTGTTGCCCGAGCTGAGGCGTGGACGCTGAGGTGGGCTGCGTGTCCCAGGCCTTTGAGCACGGGGTCCCGGGCGTTTCTCGCCGTGAGAAACCCAGGTGGATGGATCGATCCAAAGGAGTCAATGACCAACTGATGGACGAAATCCGTTTCCCACCACGCTGAAACATCTGAAAGCACGTGTTTGTCGGTATTTGCAGGGGAATCGAACTCTTCCAGGGTTTCTTTGGTGCGAAAGGGATTTCGTCCACAGTATCAATGGTGATCTGTCTGGGGAGGTCTAGAAAGCTGGGAACAGCCAATTGGATGAAGCAGAGTGATCGATGCCAGCGCTCCATTTCCTCTTGGGAAACATGTGTAGTTTTGTCCATTGCTCAACTCACTCCCTGAGTGCCTGGACTTTAGTCAGTTTAAGACCATGTGGCAAACAAACAGTTTGGTTACTTGTTTTTCCAAAGCAACCAGGCTGATTTTTGGCCGAGAGACTTGGCGATTTCTGTCACCGGAGAGACTGGCCGTGGCAAAACGACGTGACGTGAGTGTTTGGTTCCATAAGTCCAACCCTCTTCATGCTTACCTCTTAAAAACACAACTTTTCAACTTGTTGGGGGTAACATGGGCTATATGTCTGTAAAAGATTAACTTCCCCAATCCTTGGAGTTTTAAGGGGTAAGCATGTTGGTTTCAAATCACAAGAGTCCCAACGGAAACCAGCCGTCCCGACCGATTTGGGTTGAATCCACAACCTTCAAGGCAGAAATTTTCACCGGGACGGGTGAAGTCTGGGATGTCTACTGGTGGTTCCATGGGTGTGTCTTGTGAGAGGCCATGCCAAGAACTGCTTGGGTTCATCACGAAAACCACAGGGCAGCCAGGCCCGCGAGAAAGGAGGCCCCGTCAAAAGCACATTCCTGGCCGCCCCACCATCGAGTGGGCCGCAAAAAAATGAGTTGTTGTGGTTTGGCGCGTTAGCGCCCGTTGTCGGCTTGTGATTTTCGGGTGTGTAATGTATTTTTCTCTTGAAAGATGGGTTGCCATGTATTCGCAAGGAAAGATGTGTGTGTGTGTGTGTGTGGCTGAGCGGTTGTCAGCAAAGATGTTCAAAGTATGTTCCAACATGTTCCAACAATTCGAGCCTGGCTGAATTGAGTCTTGGATTCAGCCCAAAAGGAAGAGGTTTCAAAAAGGTGTGGCTTGGCCTGACCGCAGGCAACCTGCCAAATACCCAGTTGTTTTTGATGAATTCCAGCCTAAAACTCACTTTTTGGGGGTTCCGATTTAACACTAACTTCAACCGGGAATCGTCAAGTCCCATTGCCTTGACCTCAAGTACCGGCGTTGAAGCATGGAATGTTATTCGAGAGGGGTTCTGGGAGCTTCTTAACCCGGGGTAGGGTAAGCTGGCAGATACTTATATAGCCGGTCTTTGTGTGAAATACAGGGACCTCGCTACTATTGAGTGTTTCGGTTGATAAGTTCAAGTAAACTAAATCGTTCCTGATTGGCCGCAAAAGCTGAGGGGCTGCAAGTAGCCCCCAGCCAAAAGGACCTCCAAAATGCCATGCGACAGGTGCGTGGACCCCGTTTGAGGGACACCAAAAGGAGTGTGGTTTGAAGACGTTTGGGCCCGGTTGGCTTTTGCCTTGGCTTTTGCTGACAGCGTGCATTTGGAAGGCGTAGGCTTGCACTGGTCGGCTTGTGGCTCAGGAGCTGGAGCTCACAAAGGTTTTTTGGATCGTGAACAGGTTGACTTGGATTCTAGAAAAGTTCCTCCCAACTTCCTTTGTTTTGGACCCGCAAAAGTGGCAGGTTGAGCGGAACCCCCCATCAACGGGATCAACTTGGCAAGATATGCCCCTTTCAATCGGCACAGATAGAAGGAAGTTGTGGATCTCATCAGACAACTTTGAGTGGACCTCCTCAAACCTGTGAAGCTAGATCAGAAAGTTCCTTGCTTGCAGAATCCAGAAAGCCCACGCGTTGATTCCCACCTGTCCCCACCTGTCCTTCTTCTTGGTTTCCCTCTAAACCAACCCCAAAACGCAGAAAACCACCGAACCACGACTCCTCGAATCGATGCGATTCGCGTTTCGCGCGCTGGGCCCTTGCCTTGACACGCTGGGCTGCTTCGCTTGCGCCTTCGCGGCGGTTGGGCAAAAGGCGGCTTGACTATTTGGAGCTTTCAATCCCGGGATCTTTGCCTTGGTGGAGTTCCCAGTTGTCCAACTTGAGAGGGTTTTTAGTTGTTGTTAGGTGGTGAAAGGTGGTGAAAGGTGGTGTGGTTTCCATTTGAACCACAAGTCCAAATACTTTGAGCAGGGGATCAGCTTGGACGGCCGAGCTGCTTGACTGATATTTGGTTTGTCCTTTGGTTGGCTCAACTCGTTGGACATGCTCTTGGCTGGCTCAACTTGTTGGCTTGCTTGGAGAGCTACTGTTGACCCCGCATGAACAAACCCGCCCTATAAATGCGCGCGTGTTCCCCGCCAAAAGTGATGATGTCCCACTAAACCAAGCAACAACCCCTGGAAATAAAGTGAGGTTGATGAATCTGGGGTTCCCACTATTTGGCTCAACTTGTTTTGCCCCCAAAGAAGTTGGTAGCGATTTGCTCTGCAAACCGCGGTCGCTACCGAGGCGGCGCTTGGGTGGTCCCTGCACGGGCCGGCGCTCTGCAGCGGCCTGAGGCGGGAGGGCGTGAATGAGGTGAGCGATCAGTGTGCCAGGGTGCTCAACAGACCAAAGCGCTGGATATACCTTCGCTGTTCTTGGCATGTTCTTAGGTTTTTTTTTGCGGGTTCTGCATCATTATGCTCATGTTTAGATTTGTGCTACAGGTTGGAAAGTGTTTCATATTCCCAACTGAAGCCAAAAGGGCTGGCAGCTTCTGTTTTGTTTTTAATTATTATGTTTATTATTATTATTAGTATTATTAGTATTATTATTATTATTATTAGTATTATTATTATTATTATTATTATTAGTATTAGTATTATTATTATTGTTGTTGTTGTTGTTGTTGTTGTTGTTGTTGTTGTTGTTGTTGTTGTTGTTGTTGTTGTTGTTGTTGTTGTTGTTGTTGTTGTTGTTGTTGTTGTTGTTGTTGTTGTTGTTGTTGTTGTTGTTGTTGTTGTTGTTGTTGTTGTTGTTGTTGTTGTTGTTGTTGTTGTTGTTGTTGTTGTTGTTGTTGTTGTTGTTGTTGTTGTTGTTGTTGTTGTTGTTGTTGTTGTTGTTGTTGTTGTTGTTGTTGTTGTTGTTGTTGTTCTTGTTGTTATTATTATTATTATTGTTATTATTGTTATTATTATTATTATTATTATTATTATTATTATTATTGTTGTTGTTGTTGTTGTTGTTATTATGATTATTAATAAGTATTATTATTATTAAAACTAATTATTAATTATTACTATTATTATTATCATTATTATTATCATCATTATTATTATTGGGCTCTGTCTTTTCAAGGATGCCTTGGGGTCTCTGCCCAGAAAAGCGCAGACCAAACACATAATCCCAACCCGCAGAAGCTTTGCGGAAGGGGCGCGGAAGGGGAGCCAGCCCTTTCCCACCACATTGCAAGCAGCGGCAGCCCCTCAACCTGCCTGGAAGAAGCCTAAACGCTTTCCATTGGCTCAGGGTTTGCGCACGCAAGCCCACCACTTGGCGAAGATAGTGCTCGTCAGAAGACTGGCCAGCGGCAACATGCTAACGCCCAAAAAGAGGAGTACAGGCTCGAAAACCAGGCTAAAACTGCGGTCACGGAAGCAAAATGCCTCTAAATGCTGCAAACTTATGTCCTCGCAAGCTCAAAGCGCTTCGCAGAAGCCACCCGTGCAGGCTGCGGAAGCGCCGCTGAAGGGTTGGCTGAAGGTTGAATAGTTTCATACCTGGGTCTTCCAACATGTGCAAAATTATTGCTGTTTTGTCAACAATTGGGTTTTCTGTCCCAACAGCGATTATTTCGCCTGCCGGCAGTTGTCAGTGTTTGCACACTCTAGCATCAATCAAAATTGCAAAACGGCGTAATTTGCTGTGTAAACGGCGTAATTTGCCGGCGAAACACCGTTTTTTTTTGCCTGGTCATGAGCTGGACTCACGGCGAGCGCTTTTCCTCCGAAAGAGTGTTTGTTCAGCAGCCGGCGAAAAATATTGCTGTTTGGGGAAACGGCGTTAATTTTCCATGCCGGAAGGTCCAGGTATGAACTAGAGATGAAGTAAAAGCACCACTAAACTGTTGAAACATGTCGCAACAGCTACTATCAAAGAAGCCTTAGTTTGGTTTCCATTTAAAGGACTGGAACTGGTTGGATTTTGCCCCGCTCTGATTCCAACCCCTCGCGGTGGATTTCCGCGCCAGGCTTTCACTGCTGCTGGTCTTGTTTCTTCTCGGCCGTGCCTCTCGGGGCTCGGATCGCACGCGCACGTGGAACATCCTGCGGCAGGTGTTCCCCTACGAGCCTCAGCCCGGGTTTTGGATGCACTGCGTGATATGGAAAGAGTACTCAAGACATAGAATAAGAAGGACCAGAACGGGGAAGAATGCGAGAATTCAAATGAATCGCTCAATCCCCCCCCCCCGGTTTGCTTTCTTTTTGCGAATGGGTTCAACCAATGAACAGCCATCGGCATACGGGTGTTTCTGTCTCAATTGACCCCTCCGGATAGTTGGACTAGTGTCCCTAATGCCATCTGCTGAAGCATGCTAAAAGACGTGCCAACAGCGGTAGGTTGTGCCTTGCCACTTTTTGGGTCCAAGTTTAGCCTACCTGAACATGGATATGACCATGCGTTAGGTTGCCACTTCGCGAATATCAACGAGATCCATTTCAGAATGCCAAAGTTCGCATGGTTGGATGGAAACGCAACCACGAAAGAGCATCGCAAGAGATGAGGGCCTTTCCATTTCCACCACGGGGCCCCAACAAATACAAGACCCACCGCTCCTGATGTACTTGTGGATAGACAAATTCTTGCACCAGTTGCTGGCAGGTTTGGGCATATTGAGCGGTGTCCTTTGGCTTTCAACATTTGTTCAAACGTGGGCAACTCTAGAGGTGTCTACCAAAAGGAGTGGTTTTGTCTAACTTAAGGTTAGAACTTTTTCGCGGGGGAAAGAACCATTACACAGTAATTTAAACATATAATTTGTTTAAAAGAAAAGTTTGGACCATACCTCTTGTTCAAACACATAATATAAACAAACTAGAAGGGCAAGGGTATCCCACGCAAGACCCCAAAGCGAGAATATGGGTTATTGTTTCAGTGGGTTAGAATGGTGTCATGTCTTCGGCCCTCTCATCCTTTCCGTAGGTAGCAAGTTGTAGTTGGTTCCTTAATCTCCTCATCCTCATCCATTGTTGGAAAGCAAAGTTTTAAAAAGGGTTGTAGAATCTGTTCAGTAAGAAGTGGCTGCAAGAATACAGTAGTATTCTAAAAAGTCTGCTCAGCAAGAAGTGGCAGAGACTAAAGTAGTATTGGGGCCCCGAGGTCCTCCATAGTTCGGATGCCCCACAAATTCTGCCACTATTCTGGCGTGTCTATTGTCCCGGGGGGGAGGGGGTCTTTATCAATCAAGTTCCAACATTATATAGGCCCCAAACAAAACACGGGAGCTTGCACCCGAGGCAGTCTACGTGCCGCTCACAGGTCTCTGTGTGGCGCGAGTAGTCACCGACCCTCCGCAGCTTGTCTAAGGACTGACGGAATGAAGACATCCTGAGATCGACCCTATGGCCTCCAAAGACCCGTCGAACGGTTTGTTGGGTGCAGTGAATAGGCGGACCGCCAAAAGAATGGGATTCTTTCTGTTTTGTTTCCCTTGGCCAAACCAAGGGTATACCCAGCTCACACGCCCCAAGCCAAACGCGACCGGAAAACCTCGCTTGGGAACTTCCCGGGTTTTCGGCTTCCAGGCCTGAGACGCCTTCTGGGGCGCTCTTCTGGCTCGCGCTGGTGCTCTCCTTCCTCTGCGGCGCCGCAGAGGACCGGCTCACGCTGCAGGCGCGGAGGTTCTCAAAGAAAAACTAACACCCGGGGGGTGGGGGGGGGGTGGTCCCGAAGTTTGTTGGTGTTTCTGGTGGTGTGACTCTCTTCTTGCTGGCCTTTGTTGGTTGTTGGTCTTTTCTGCTTGCTGATGGATTTTGTTGGCTGTGATTCTTGACTTGTGGGGTTCCAATCGGTTGATACTATTGGCTTTTGTGATTGTGTTGTTTGTTGGTACGTGTTGGGTCCGGAGAATCTTGTTAGTGAATATGTGCACCGCACCAGGGTGTTCTTCGCGGAAGGTGTGTGGAAGCTTTGTGGCTGATATGAAATTAATTGTTTCATTTGCGTGGAAAAGCACGGAGAAACGATTGCCGTAGAAGCAGAAAGGTGTTGCTGCGCACAAGAATTACTAGAAGGACAGTTGCCAACAGCAAGCCAAGAAGACCAAATCCGCCGGCGGATTCGCGGAAGGTTTGCAGGCAAGCGCCCACGTAGCACGGGTAGCCTTATGGAGCCCAACCCTACTGCGGCGAAAAGCGACTTTCCTTCCTTACTCAAATGGATGTGGCAACCAAAATTAAACAGCTGGGGCAAACCGCAGGTTTTGGTCCATGCGTCCTACCAGGGTTCCATTTGGGAACCGGTTTTTTGAGCCACAGCCAAATGACTTTCCTTGTTCCACCAATACTCGCGGAAGCAAATCTTGTAAAACGTGCGCCGCGGAAGGTTTGCGGAAGCACACAATGAACACATGCGCCGCGGAAGTTCGCGGAAGTGACCTCTTGGCGCGCGGCAAGGATGCGGAAGGTAAAAACCAACGCGTGTGTGGTTTGAAAAGATTAACCGGTGAAAGGCCGCACTACAGCATAGCCAAGCTACTATACTCGCTTCAACCGATTGAACGGGGTTGCGGGGTACTTTAAACCAAACTAATTATATACGTCATGTTTCATGATTATAGTTGTGTTTTTTCTGTGTGACCTCCTTTTTTAGTTGAACAAAAATGGTTGAACCCCTTCAATCCATATAGATGCCCTCAAGCAGGCATCCAACTTGAGGATCGAATCCGCCTACCTTCCAAAGGGTCCCTTCCACACACACACACAGACACACAAGTTTCCTCTACAATCGGAAGTCTGGACTCGCGTCCTCTGCATTTTGCGGGTTCTTCCCCCAGATAAGCGTGCCTTCTCAAGGATTGCCATGTCTGTTTGTCATCCTTGGCTCTGGCTTGATACTTTTGGCATCACCAGTTCAGAGGGCTTAGAGTAAAAGCACACATCGGCTTTTACCCGAAATATCGTCGTGCCTTCTCTTCTTTTTTTTTTTCGGGCGGTTCCCCCCCAGCCGGTTCTGCGCCTGCCTGATCGGGCACCCTGTTTGATTTCTTGGGGATCTTAGCTGGTCTTTGACAGGGAAAACAACAGGGTTCCATTTCGAGTCCGGGGGCCCGTTGCTTGTGAAACAGCAACAAAGAGAAAATGCACTCAGCGAACCTTCGTGTGAGGGGGGGGGGGGCGGTTGGGAAAGCAATCATCAAGTAAACTCATGTTCCAAGCATTGAGAAGGCATGGTCCCCTGGGGAAGCCTCGGGGGTCTAGACCCTCGATACAAGAAGCGTGTCCTCAGTTGCCGGTAGGATTGTTTTGAAGGAGTGCTAGAGAGCTCACCTGTGCCAATAAGGGTACGAACAAACGGAATCCACAAGCAGTGTATCAGTTCTACTCTTGCCTAGAGGTATGTGCTCATCCATTCTGCCATTGGTACAGATTGCCCCTCTGGCCTGAGTTGGCGAGAAGGCCGAACCCGTGACTTCTTCTTGTTGTCTTTGTTTGGGCGATGCATTCAACCACTCCTTCATGCTTCCCTAACCAACAAAAAGGAGCAGGCATGTTGTTGGTGTTGTTGGGAACCGCTTGGTCCCCTTCAACACTTCAACCATTTTGAGAAACCTTTGACCCCATCAACGTGATAATCCGTTGACTTCAATTGTCCCTTCAACCATCATGAGAAACCTTTGACGCCCTTCAACCACTTTCAGAAACCTTTGACCCCCATCAACACTTCAACCATTTGGAGAACATTTTTGAGACCCCTTTGACTCACCGTGTGGACCTACAAATTAATTCAAAATGTCCGGCAGGCGCCGAGAGCCCGCGCCGAGAACGAGACCGAGCTCTTGGAGACTCCCAGCGCGGCGGACGCGGCGGGCGAAGGCGAAGCTGAGAGTCGGAGCGGCGAAGCAGCACTTTGGCGCCTTCAACTTGACTGCTATTGGGTTGGATCTTGAGACTAACTTTTTGGGAAATAATTGTGCTTTCCACTAAACCCCCAAAAAGTTAAACTTTTTGCAGGGGGGTCAACAGCAACCAAGTCAACTTGTTGACCTTTGGGGGGTTCCAGTTGGAAGGGTGTGGGGTGCTTTTAACATATTTGTTGTCGTGCTTCTAGGAGAATAGGGTATGCTGTTTCTGGCTCCGCCAGGGCCACCCGAGTGGGTATGGATTAAATTTTAACCACCAGGATATGGACCAGCGATTTTAGTATTTGTTTCCATTGGCCGGTTCGATTTTGGGTGCCTGTTTTTGACCCACAGCCAAAATGGGGGGGAGTCCCTCCACAATGGTGGCGTTCCCTTTGAATTTCCTTTTTGTTCCCTTTGGTGTCATATGCCTTTTGACTCCCGCTGTATGGATATGATCTGAAGTCAGGGACAGCTACAAATTGTGTTCAACTCCAAAAAGGGCACAAACTCCAACAAAGACGAGCGACCCATATTCAAACGCTTGATCCCGTCTGTTTGTTGAGAAGCTCACTTGCCTCCTGGAAGGATCTTAGGGGATATGGGGGTAAGTACAGCTAGATATGGGTGTGTCTTTTCGGGAACCCCCCTCCGAAAGAAAATCAATTAAGAATAAAATCATCAAAACAAAATAATAATATGTTGCCTTGTGGTGCCCCTTGAACGCAGACCAAGAAGGATAGACTCGCAAAAAGACACCCTCACGGGCTTTTGCCCTCTGATCTCCCTTTAGACTATCGACTATCCTTATCAAGGTACTTGTCAAGAAAAGGCTGATCCCAAAATTCCTACTCGGTCCTGTCGGCAAGGAATTCCTTTTGGTTTTTCTTTTAACGAAAACTAGATGTGCTAGCGGGAGTTCTCACCCGCCTCTCAAGTGCCTGCTATCCAGACTACCATTTTGAGAAACGCAGATGACACATAGTCAGGGCATATCATGTTCTGTACACCGATTTGCGCCAAGATAGAAATTGTGAGTCCTAAAGACATGGTGGGCCTAGGACAGGGGTTACTCCTTGAACATATACATATATAATATATATATATACATACACTACCGTTGCTGAAACAACATGCAGTTTGTTTCCCTTTTGCCCAACCTTCTTCAAGAGACAGGGCTGGTATATAATATACGCTCCTTGTTTTGGAAGGACAACCGCTAGCCGTGTCATGTCGCCTTTCAGAAAAGTTTCTGACTTGAAGGATACTCTGTTTCTGCAGCAAGTCTGACCCCTGAAGGAGTCCGTTGGTCGCCGTGCCTGAGTGCGGAGGTTGCCAAACTTCTAACACGCTTTCAAGCCCACTTCGCGTGGCCAAGTAGTAACATGCAAAACCCGATTTTAGTATCACAGCACGCAGCCGTTTACCACAAACGTCCTGAGACTACCATTGGGAATGTGGGTCGATATGTGGGTCGATTCCAGGTCAGCAAAAGAGCCAAGCGGCCCAAGCGGAGTATTTTGTATGCTGATCGGGAAGTGTTTAGTAGCCCTGGTCAACCGCTTAGGAGACTCACACGCATCGTAACTGGATCATGACCCTGCCCTAGCGTACCCTGCAAATTGATTCCTCCGAACCCAAAGGTATCACAAACGACATGAGGCGTGGCTCAAACTAATCCCCTTATTTAAAAAACAAAAAAAAACATCCCCCCCCACAAAAAAAACTCTAACATCCCCAACAAATACCGTCAAAAACGGCCAAGCCGCCGAAGCGGCCAGATGTTTGTTTCCCAGGGAAGAAAGACTCCTTGTGGAAGCTGCTGGACTTGGTCTTGCTGGAATGGCCTTTGCTGATCCAGGCGCGGGTCGGCCAGTTGTCCGTGTATTTGAAGGCTACGCTTTTTGGGGTGCTTTAAACATGGAACCATTCAAGGGAACACCACTCGATTTGGGGGTATCTCCCCTGGTTTGACACATGAATGGATGCTTGTTGGGAATGGTTGGGAGAAAGCCAGGTTTCATCCTCACAGTTGTTGAACATGCTTGACGCAATAGTGTGTTCCCTCTGTAATGTTGAATCAAATATTGTTCAACCTCTTTGAAGTCCAAATTTAGGGTCAGATTCTGTTCAGACATGGACAGCTCCATGTCATGGAGCCCCGAAAATCGTTGCTAAATAGATCCCACATGGGTATGGGTCAAAATCAAGCCACCAGGGGACCGCAGGTTTTAGTCCGCGGTTCCATTTACCAGGTTCCATTTTGGGCACCTATGTTTGACCCACAGCCATATTCTGTTGGGATGGAGCAATCCGCTTGGCCATCTACCAACTGATCGTAAAGGCGTTCCCTATCAAGAAGAAGGCGGCAGCATGGACCCCAAGTGTCCACCGTAGGTACACCTTCGCTGGTGCAGGATGTTCTTCATCCACCATAGGTATGCCACCCAACAAAAGATGAACACCGCAGGCGGGGATTTGCCTAATGGTGGCGGCCATTGCCGACGTGCCCCTTGGCGTCGAAAGTTTTTGGCTATGGTATTCGCCGAACAGCTCTTTCTGAACGAGTGGGCGTTGTGTTTGGTCTGGATGAGATGCATGTGGTATAATATGTGTTGGAGTGGGGATAGAATTTGAGACCCACATCTTGTGTGTCCTCTGGGGAATTTGTGTCGAGAAATGGACTTCCTGAGCTCCCCCACGCTATGCCTTGGCCCTGGTTTTAGGGCCCAACGATATGTTAGATGTTCTTCAAAGGGAGAATAGAGGGGAAAATCCTGAGCAGAAATGTGAGCGATGCGTTCTACCGTTGCGTGTTGCCCTGCTTCATACGGAGGCTCCCTCCTATTCCATACTCTTCCCGGCATCCCTACCTGACTGTTTCCCCAAGAGAAGTTGGGCTGAATCAAATGTGCTTTTGAACTGTTTCCCCTGTGATGAGCAGATTCATTTCTGGAAACTTGTTTGTTGACTCAGCTGCCAATGTGTTTTCTCATCTTGACTTGTTTCCAGTTACTTTTTCGAGATGTGAATGGAAGGGTCATGATGCCAATCTTCGCTGCTCCTAGCTGAAGATCTGATGTCGGCGTGTCCCAGAGTTGGGCCAAGTTCAGGAGAGTACGTGTTGTTGAGGTACTCATCGGCTCAAGCCACCCATCACTGTCAGGTCTGATTGCAACTGGGATCTCTTTTGACTGTATATCTGACATTCTAAGGCGCGATCAATCGTGACCAGAATCAGTTGAATCAATAGGGGTTGAAGGGTAAAAGCTGAGGTAAGGTTTTCCCGTTTGGGAAGGCCTCTTACAGACTCTGGGGCACGTGATGCACTCGTAGGCATCGGAACTTCCTTTTGGCTTATCTTCAAAACCACCAAACAGAGGTACCAACTCCAAAGAAAGACGAGCCACCCATGAGCTTCGTTTCCTTTTTGTTCTTTGCCTGCCAAACTGGGATCCATCCGATTTCGAGCTAGATCCGTTTCGGGCGCCTGTTGGGCGGAAGTGCCAGAGGTGGCAGAGTACACTTGATGAAGGGGATTCGGAGGTTGGAAAAGCGTATCTTGGTATCTTTTGGAGCTCTTTAATCTTGGCTTCATTTGGTGCTGTCAGGGCCTCAGGGGCGTGTTTTTCAGACTGTGGGAAACTAGCGCCAAGTGGATTTGAGGTATGGGTGTCAAAGAGGCTCTCGCAGCGTCGGGCTTTTGGTTCTAAGATGGATATACAGGCGGATGCAGACTTCACTATCGCCCCAATGAAAGCAGGTAGTAGAATCAGAGCCACCCGCTAAATGGCCCTTACCCCAGGCTGATTCCGCACTACATTAGCCAGACCATCAGCCTCATCATCCTGGCAGAGGAGTGGATCGCATCGATCGCTCTGCTCCAGACCTCGCAGAGGGTTTGATCGAAATCAGAGAAGAGCCGGGCGCCCTTTTTCTTCGAAAAACGTCCGGAACTCGGTGTTCAGCAAAAGTGAAGGTCCAGCAGGCATCCTTTGGATCAAGTAAAGCCTGTTCAAACAACTGTTTGCACCAGCAAGCCTCAGCTCACTAGTTGGGGGGTAACACAAGCTCACCCCAATAAGAACAATTCCTTAATTAGGGGGGATATTAATTTGTGCAGAGGGATTGTGTAAAAAACCTCCTTTGGTTCCCTTTCAACCGGAGGGAGGGCTTGCAGGCTTGCTTGTTTGAGGAGGGAGCAAGCCCGAGCCGTGCGGGTGTCCTTTGGTAAGACCTGAAGCATGGGGACCCTTCATCCCCCTTGAGGGAGGAGCTTGCCCCGGCTCGAATTAGAACCGACGAAGTCCAACATGGTTTGACCAACTTCGAAATGATCCATCAAAGAACGCTCCACCGTTATTTCGCTTTCATTCCAGTCTTTGGAGGCTCCCCATCCCCAGTAAGTCTTGGTGAAGTCAAGCCAATCAGAAACAACAATATACAGATTGAAGCTCAGAAAGTGTAAAACGGATGAGCTTCGATCAGAAGTTGTGTGTGCATCTGATTTTTCCCAGCATCCATGAGTTGTCAATCCGCCCATGGGCTTTTTTTGGTTCTCGGCGGATTCCATGCAGCTTCTGTTTTCGATCGCCTGAGATTTCTTTGTGCTTGTTTTCGGGCAGATTAGATGCTTAGTCCCTGAGTTCCGGAGCTTTACTCACTTTTCGGACCGTTCTAGCGGCAAGCAAAAAAACTGTTTAGGCACTTTTTGTGGCCCATCCACTTGATCGGAGGTGAGGATATGACACAGAATCATTGAATCTGTACCCTGGGGGTGGGCCAAGACCAATCCGGTGGCTGCATGTTGGTTGCCACTGGCCATTCCTCCCTTGACTGCTATTGGTTTGGATCTTTAGACTTGAACTTTTTGGGAAATCACGAGGTTTTCCACTAACCCCCCAAGAAGTGAAGCTTTTTGCCGGGGGGTCAAATAGGGCAACCTTCCGTCCTTTTTGCTGGCGGACTTTTTAAACCTGAACCCAAACGGGAGGTGCCGTCGTTCACCCAACTTTTAGGTGCTCAGCAAAGAAAACAGATTGCGTCGACTCCCGAAAGTGAAGCCAGCCGGGCTGGGTGTGATTTCGTGTTTTTCCAGATCCAGTTGTTGCAGTGAGAGCTACCGATTTCTCATTTACTCTTCACCAGAACCACATCCGGTCCCACCACCAGTCCAGTCCAAGACACCAATCAAGGGCCTGAGAAACTATGGAGCGAGCAGTTCAAATCCCAGCGCTGCTCCAAATCAATGTTCAGGGTTACTTGATATGGATAAAACAAAAACAATCAAGAAGGAAAGCACCACACCTCAATCCAAATGAAGGGTTACCCGATGGGACAGGAGCAGGGCACCTTAGCCTCTCGCCCCTACAAGCAGCCGGTGCTGTGCCTTCTGCTGGCCGCGGCCACATCCGCGGTGTTCTCCGCCATGAGGGGCGGGACCTTCATCGTCATCGGCGGGCGCCTGGGGGTGACCCTCAGGCGCATGGACCCAGACCTCCAGTTTGCTTCCGGTTTTTTGTTCCTCCTCTTTTCGGGAGTTGGCGAAAAAAAAAAGCCAAGGCCTGGGCCTGTTGCGTGTTTGTGCGTTGGTTTGTTTTGGCGATTGCTCTTTCTCTTGAGTGGGGATCCTTCTTTTTGTCGTTACCTTTTCTTGATGGTAAAGCTAAATGTGGGGTTCCTATCCTGAGCCAACCCCAAATCCTTGCTTTTGGCTTCCCGGCTGGGGAAACAAAACTCTCGTGAGGTCCAACTAGACCTCCTTCAAGGGTGGCAAATCCGTTTGTTTCCCGTTACCCAAGCAGGGTAAGGTCAAGGAAACACAACCCCAACCAGGAACTCAGGAGTGAGACACTCCAATAAATCGCTTGGTTCCAATTTGCTTTGGTTCACAGTTTCGCCCAATTGGTTCAAGACACCTCCGCGATGTCTATCAGAAGTTGTAAGGGCCGCTGGTTTGATGATTTGGCCATTGCGTTAGTCGTGTCATGGGGCCAAGGGAGGAGGGGGAGGGAGCCCCAATTGGCCCAAGGCCTTAGCTGGGCTCCCGAAATCCCCCCCTTCAGGAGCCATCTTTCCGGAAGAGCCGCAAAAATCCGTAAAACAAGGACTGGTCCTGAAGAATGCAGATTGACGCCCCCATGGTTTGCCTTGTTTTTTAGGAGACCAACGGCTGCCTTGTGGCGAAGGGTTTCCTGGGGGCAATTGGGATCTGGATTGGTCACCCGGAAAGGCACTCGTTTGGAGGCTATCTATGGGTGTTTTTTGTGGAGCGGGTGGCTTAGGCGGTGCATGGGTGCCCTTTGTCTTTTTCCTGGTGGGCATGTAAAATCAAAGACCAAGAAGCTTGGTGCCGATGCTTTGCTCGTGGCAATCCACTGGCCGTGTGGGCCAAAGGTCCCTCGTTTTCTTTGTTTAGCATATCACTCGGATCGTTTCCTGGTCGGGTGACGTTGGGAAAATCCGGTTGGGCCAACCCAGTTTAAAAGCGACGCTCGACATGTAGTTCTGTCTTTGTCTCGGGATGTGGAACCCCAAAGCGATCGCCTGCACAGGGGGCACCCTCAAAACAGACATGCCCACGACGCTTCTCATTTTCAGGCTCTAAGAAAGTTTCACTCCCCAACCCAACCCTTATGAGGAATACTGGCAAACATTGGGGGAACATGGGCAGAACAAACTGTGGCAACATGTGGGAAACACAGGGCGGCTGGCATTTAGGTTGTCTCAAAATACGGGCACCCACAAGATGGGTCTGCTCTGGGTGTGTCTGTAAAAACCCATTGGTACCAACAAAGACAGACCCATTTAGGGCCACGGGTTTGACTGGACGCGATGCCAGGTGCCGGCTCCTCGAGACGCTCACGCGCCAGGCGGGTGAAATTCTCGTCTCGACTTTGGGCGAGCAGCTCATGGCTGGTCTTTGGCGTGGCCAACTGGCCCCTGCCGTTTGGAAACGCAAGGCTTTTCCATTTACAAATGATAAGTCCGGGGTTGCAACCACTGAAACTGACCCAAGTACTTCGCGAAAAGGGTGGGAATAATTGATGTAATACTGGTAAAGCGAGGCGCACGCGGGTGGCTAGCTTCCCTCGGTCAAACCCGAACTCTCAGACGAAACAGTTTATTACTTGTGGGTTGGAACCACCTTTGTGGGTTGGGACGGCCCATTTGCATAGGCCAATTGAAGAACATGGTTGCATTTCACATCCTGTTCGGCCAAGGGTGTAAGTGCTTAGTGACCCAGATAGCAAACTTACCCCCAAGACGAGCCTGTTGTCACTGGGTCAGAAGTGACTTACCGCTTATGAACCGAAGTAGGTCTTCTGAGAGGGAGCACCACTATGTTTATTAGAGCATGAGGGGACTTGGCTCTGTGTTGGTTGGTTTCCCGTTGTTTTTGCCGTCTTTGCATTGCATTTTCGTCCCCTTTTCCAACCCCTTGTCTAGGCCCCTTTGCTTTTTCCTTATCCCTTCTACTTTGTTCCCTGCAAATAAGCACGCGGTCCCCCATGAGGCGATTCGGATTGCCATGGACTTGCGGGTTCTAGAAATTCAGGGGGGTACCGTTCTTGCTTGCAGGAGATCGGCTTTTTCGACACCACCAAGATCGGTGAGCTGACCTCACGTATGACCCAGGATTGCCAACAAGTCGTTGATCAGGCAAGGCGCGGTTTGGGCACCTTGATTTGGTTGTTGACTTGGGTCATCTCGGGGGTGTCTTTTCGAGGTTCCATGTTGAGGCCGCTTTAGTACAACACAGAAACCAAAGGGGCGAGATGATTTGTCTTAGCTTTGTCCGACCCTCGATCCAAAACTCGCCCACCCCGGATGGGCCCTTTTTAGAGAGAAGCTCGTATCTGTTTTTTGACGGTTTCCCGGTTTGCCGCGACCGTTTCGTCTTTTTATGGGGTCCGACCACTGCGGGAAGCAAAAGGCTCTCAACCAATGTGTGTATGTCTCACTTCATATCGTATTGCCATTGTAACACAGTGCGTTTCACCAGGAGCAAACAGTTTGGTTACTTCGAAACAATCCACTTGGGAAGTGACAGGCCACTCTTGAAGCACGAACGTGCAGGAACCCACCTAACTTTGTCCAATCCTCAGTGAGACTTGGGTTGAATGCATCCAAGTGCTTCTAGGGTTGATTCCGCATTCTTTTAAACCTTCGCTCTTTTCAAGAACCCGGTCGTGTGTGTGTGGGCTGTTTTTTTCTGCTTCTTTTCGGGGATTCTGGAGGTTTTATAGAAAAATTCGGATCCCCGGAAAGAATGGTTGAAAGGTAACCGTAGAGTGCTGTGTGGTTGAAACAAACACTTCCACTTTCCGTACACGTGCCAAATGTTGCGCACAGATGGGTTGTTTGACCCATTGGGTCGGTCTTCAAAACGGCGAACGAAAGCACGTGGTTCTCTTGCCCTGGAAACAGACACAAAAATACCCTCAAACTGTGAGACCTACATGTCCTTTTTAACCTCTTTATTTCCTGTTCTTCCTCCATTGTTCCTGTTACCCACAAAACTATTCACTGTTTGCAGGGGCTCAAATCAGTCTGTCTCAAGCAAGACTCGGGTTTTGCCAGGCCTACTTGAACGTGAATGTCTTCCTGCGGACGTTGGTGTCTATCATCACCACCATCGCCTTTATGCGGCTTGGGCATGTGTATTCGACGTCTCCAGCGCTTTCTTGAACCACTTTGGAGGTTGTTGTTAAAGATCGATTTTGGAGGGGGTTCTCTTTAAAATCAACCCAAGAAAAGAGTGCCACAGTTGAGCCAAGCTATGGGTTCCAAACGGAGACCGGTGAGCTAAGGTATGGGTTTCAATCGGAGACCCTTCCAATTCAGCGGTTGCATATTGAACCCCTTCTTTGACGAGACAACACCACATGTGTGTGTGTGTGTGTGGGTGTGATTTTCTTTGACGAGACAACACCACATGTGTGTGTGTGTGTGTGGGTGTGATTGTGTGTATGTGTGTCTGTGTCTGTCTCTGTCTGCGTCTGTGTCTGTGTCTGTGTGTGCGTGCGTTTTTGGTTTGAGGAGAAACCAACAAGAAATATTGCCTGTGTGTTTGTTGTTGGTGTCGCAGGTGCTCAGCAATCTTCTTACGCGGGTCTTGGTTCCGAATAAGAACCTTTATGATGCTTGTCTAACACACTACAGGGTTCATGACCAGTCCTGCCAGCCTGCCAACCCGAAGCAGAACGACACTTTGACCATAGCACAGTTGGGATGCCTTCGGTGGCTGGTTTCGCCTGATGAAGTCATAGTGGCTAAGATCACGGACCCTCAACATACCCTTCCAGTTAGTATTTTGGGGAAAATCTCTAATTGTTTAGGGCAGTTTGGGGGTCCAGGCAGACACTTACTACTGTTCATATGAATTTCTTGTTTCTCATTTAGATTTAGTTCTCGCCTGCTGCTATGAATGATTTGTTCCTCAGCGGCAAGGTTGGGATTTATTCCAGGAGTTTTAAATATAGTTGACGCATTTATTCTGCCAGGCAAAATGGGTTGCGAGCAAGCCCTTGCCACCTAGGAGCCGAAAGGAGGTTGTTACAACTGGGTCCCTTACACTAGCGCCATTGAGGATGTCACTTTCCTGGACCCTGTCAAGTAGCTCTACACTTTCAAGGGGGCAGCTCTGTGTTCAACCAAAGGAGTGAAAACCAAGGCCATGTCCATCATGTGCAGCTTGTGCCCAGTTTCCCAGGCCTTTCCTTTGAATTCAACCCACAAAAGGAAGCCCGATTCCAATGACCGCTGGAGGCTTGGTGATGAATTGTTCCCGAGCTCCCTGCGTTCGTTCCTGGACTTTAAGCTCTGTAGGAAGACCATTTTAGTGGCAAATTAAAAGTTTTGACTTTTGTTGGCCAGTCCACTCAGGAAGTGTTGCTGGTAGTTCTGTCACCCCAAAGCGCAAATCCAAAACTGCAGCTGGGGGGCAGATTCGGAGGACTCGACCAGGGTCGGATTGCCATTTACACATGTCACCAGCCACCAGAAGCCACACCCAATCTTTGGTTGGTGGTTCATGCCGGACATGTTCCAGAAAGCAAACCGTTCCTTGTCAACACATCGCTCATCTTCATGCCCCACAAACTCAATGAGAAAGGGTTCTCCAGACCTGTGGCACCAGTTGTCATTTTCTTTTGGCACGGGGTGGGGTTTGGTCGCCCCCCAAGCAAGACTACCCCACAAGAGAATTGGGGTGGCCTTTAAAAAGAAGCCTACCCAGCAAAAAGAGCGCCGATTCGTTTTGCCAACGGACATCCACTGGAACCCTGGATACATGGCGGGTATCCTGTTGCGTTTCTCCACCCCGAAAAAGGGCGCCGATTCTTTTTGCCCACCCGGTGATGTTGGGTCAGGTTCTCCATCACCGTGCCTCTGACGATGGTGGCCTTCGTCTCGGTGCCTTGTGTGGTGATCGTCTGCATGAAATACTCCGAGCGCCTCGGGAAGGGGTTGGGACGTCGTGACTTTAGGGAGGCGGTAAGTGACATCTTAACAACCAAGTAGCGGAACAGTTCAGCGGAATTCATGCCGGTTGGCGTTTCTAGTCGAGCACTTGGCGGGTGTCCTGGGAGATGTTGTTTTTGCTATTTGAAGTCCAGTAGTCGATTTGAAGTCCGTTGTACAGACAAAAGGTCTAACCACCTTTTGCACGGCTTGCAGCCACCCAGGAAAGAGCACTTCCCCTTTCCAGGTCCTTTCATGTTGGTTGGTTGCTTGCTTGCTTGTATGTTTGTTTGGATTGTTTGCTTCTTCGTTCGTTTGTGCGTTCATGTTGGTTGGTCGGTCGGTCGGTCGGTCGGTCGGTCGGTTGGTTGGTTGGTTGGCTCTTTCTGGCAGACTGAAAGGCTCAACGGCTCTCTGAGGATCTTTCGGCAGATCAGCGAGAAGGCCCAGGAGTCACTGGCCGACGCCAACGCAGTGGCCAACGAATCCCTGGGCAATATGCACCTCGTACTGTCGGTTCAGTTTCAGCTCCGCGAAGCATCCAAATCCCCAGCCGAGTACTACTCCACCAGGTATACTTCAGTGATTTGCTGGAACCATAAGTGGTAAACTTGTAAACCAAGCGTTTAGACTTGTTCAAGTCCACTCAGGATGTGGACTTGAGTCATGTTTTGGGATCATTTACTGCTAAACCAAGGGTTTAGACTTGCTTGGGCCAATCCGCGGAAGCGAGTTCCATAGTGGGACAGGTACACATCCCTGAACAGGGCCCCCATTTCACGGTTGCCTTTGGCGCACAAAAGGAAATCATGCAAAGGAAGGCCCTCGTGGCTTCCAGTCCAGTCTTCTAGGCTACATGTCAAGATCTTTCGATGCAAAGGGCACCTTGAGTGGGAACCAAGTTAAACAGCGGGCCCGTTGTTCCTATCCTCACTAAAATGAGCCACGTCAGACTCCTCAAGGTGGACTACACCCCCAAGCTCTTTCACCTTCAGCTCGCTCAATGCGGGTTGTTTCTTCCTACTCCGATAACAATCCATTGGCCAAGCTTGCCTTTGGGCTGAACAGCTGGCCAACCTGGCTTGTTCAAACTCAGCCTTTATCATAGTTCTTATGCCAGATGGCAGCGGTTTACCTTGTATGTCCCTTGCAGATTCCAGAGTGGGATTACGGATCCCCGCGATTTCGAACAACCCAGCCAAAGCCAAACAAAGCCAACAGCTGAGCACCCAAGTCCCCCAGCTTCATGAGCGTGATTCTAAGACCTATATAAGCCCCACCATCTTAGAACGAAAGTCAAAGAGTTTGCGCCGCTCAGCTTCTATCCAACTTAACGTAGATCTTCCTGGCTTATGTTCCTTTGTCCAGATAGAGCCACTCAAGAAAGGTCCTGAAAACATGTGCTCTATTTTTCAAGTCGTAAATAGACTCTCCCTGCTTTTTGCATGTACCCTATTTCGTTAGCGACGGCCGGTCATCATACATTTATGGCATGCAGCTTATGCAGTCTCACCACTGACAACGAGCGCGCACCGATCGGGGCAAAGGAGCTCATTGAACGATGCAGGCCACTGAATTCGGGGATTCCTAACTAGAAGGTAAATCCCAGCAGGTTGCTCTTGTTCTTTGGGGGTTGGCGCGTGTTACTTGTTTATTCCTTGCGAAGCGCGCGCGATCTTCCGCTGGCTTGCTCCAACGATGCGCCCAGGTCCACGGTTCGGAGCTTCGCAGCGGAGGGCTTGGAGGTGCGGCGCTTTGCCACCGCCATGGCGGTCTACAGGCGCGCAGGGGGGGTTGGGGGTGGGGGTTGGGGGTGGGGGGTGGGGGTGGGGGGTGGGGGGCGGGGTGGGGGGGGGTGGGGGGGGGGGTGGGGGTGGGGGGGGGGGGTGGGGGGGGGGTGGGGGGGGGTGGGGGGGGGGGGGGGGGTGGGTGGGGGTGGGGGGGTGGGGGGGGGGGGGTGTTGGTGGGGATGTACCAATTTGCTGGGGCCATCAACGTTGCAACTTCGATCAACCTGCATCAACGTTGCAACTTCGGCGAAAGTCATGAGCCTTGCAACTTCGAGGACACTTGTGTTTTTTGTTTTTTCTAATTTCTGGCACAAGAAAGAGGCCGAAACCCAACACGTGGAAGAAGTTTCGTTGTTCATGTCTCTCGACGAAGCTTGAAGAAGAGGTCCATAAAAAGGACCCCTCAGTCTTTTGAAGAAAGCAGGCTCGAGCCTTGGGGCACAGCTGGTTGTTTCTTTTGTTTTGGGGGGGGTGGTGTTTGGATGAGGTTGCTCATTGTCCATTGGCTGGCGCGAGCTTGGCTGCCCTTGGATTGTGAGAAAGGGTACCTGTAAGCTGTCCGGAGCGCTCATTTCACCGTACAGTTGGTTAAAACGAGATCCCAATCTACGAGCAAAGGGTGTGACTTTTCGGGGGTCGAGTTCACGTCGCTGGGGTGTTGAGAAGTACCGCATCGTCGCACATTCAACCACTTTCCAGACCAAAACACCCGAAGCGCTTGGCGATAAGGATTGAACAGGGTGGGGCTCCAAAATTGGGGGGGGGGGGGGGGTCCTTCAGAATGGAAGAAACGTATGTGGTCAAGACTCGTTGGTCATGGTCAATTGCAACCTTCAGATTTCCTTGAATGCAAGCGGGCTGAGAAATTGGGCATCTCTACCGTGTCTCTACCCAGAAGGGTGTTCAGAATCGATGAACACTCCCAATAACATTTCCTGAGAGCGGGGGGAGCCTTAGGTCTCCTCTAACCACCCGCCTTGTGCTTTGGGAGGGGCAACAATTCTGCCTTGGAAATCCACAGGTCTGAGAGGGTTTCAATCAGATATTTTGGAGGACATCTGCAGGGTTAAGAACTGCGCCAACAAACAAGCGCACATTCAATTTGGCGGCGCAGGGGCTAGCTGAAGGACTCACTCTCGGTTCCTGCTTGTTTGAGTCACGTTTCGGGCTTGGGCGTTGGTAGCAAACAAAAGGCTCAGACTTGGTTTGGCAATCCTCTCGAGGTTCCATCAACCTCCGAAAAAAGCAGGTTGCGTCAACCGCCACCTACGACACCGCGTTCCGCGCACGGTCATTTGACGCTCGGCGGGCTCAGGCGCCTCATGAAGCGCAGGGGCACCTTCTACCTGTGCTACGTGACCTCCACCATGATGCTGCCGCAGGTCGTGTAAAAGCATGTTGAAAGGGAAAAGACAACGACTTTGTTTGTCGCAGCCCCCTGCTATTCTGAGCCCAGCCAAAAAACATATCCCAGCCACAGCGAAGCAGAAGAGGAGCCGAAAAAAATGGCTGCGCAAACTGCGCAAATTTGGATTTGCAGGTAGGAGCTCAGGGCTCGACCTGATCTTTACCCAGCCTTTTGACAACCCAATCCTGGCTTTGGGGTCCAAACCCAGGACGGCCGAGGGGAGCAAATGCCAAGAAGAATCACCCACTTGTTTGGAGGGACATCTATACAAGAAGCTAGACATCATCTAACACACACTGAGCTTCCAAAAAAAGTCATCTTCTTCTTCTCTCACCTGCCAAAGGCTGACCTACTATCCTTTTGGCCTTCCCCATGTTGGTCCATTTTGCGTGGCCCCAAAAGGGGATCACCTTTCATTTCCGTTCTTTTCAGGTGGTCACCGCCTTGATCCTCTTCTATGGCGGGAAGTTGGCCATGACGGGGGAGGTGCATGCCAGCAGTCTGTTGTCCTTTGTGCAGCTTGGCGTCAGGTAACCCCAAAGAAAGGGGGCGTGGGTCTAGTTCTGGTAGAGGATAAATTGGGGAAGCCCCTCCTTAACCACAAAAAAAAAACAAATCCAAACCACCAACTAGAGGGAGCCGATGGCGTGTGGTGTTTCTCTGTTCTGGGTCCTCCAAGTTGTCTGTATGGGTGTTTCTCAAAGTTGTAGACCCCAGGTCGGTGGTTTCCTGTTGGCTTCCTCAAGAAGCCGTCCAAAAAGGGGGGCCCATTTTGGAGAAGCCCCCGTTTTCAGGCAGACTAAGTTTGAAGCAAACTCTGAAAGTGCCTTGGTTTGGTGTACCCAAGAGTTGGGCCAACCTGCTCCAAGCTGGCAGAAAGCGCCCCCGAGCGTAGGAGACCTTTTGGCATGACTGAAGGTGAAACAGCCAATAAGACAGCTAATAAGCAGTACATGTTAGAACAAGGCCTAACTCCAATGGCTTCTACCAGAAGTGGACGGTAAGGATCTGCTCCTTTCCGGTGCGATCAAGAAGTCGAGTTAAACCAGGCGCTGCTCAAGCTCTGATGTTCAAAGCCAATAGACCTTGGATTCGTTCTGGGGGTTTCCTGCTCCCTCACAATCCGGACCTGGCAAGTCCTCTCCGGTCCTTTCCTGTGGGGGTTCCCTTTACGAGCTTGTCAAACCTTGTCGGTTTAATCAAATTGTAGTAGTTCATTTGCTGTTTCCGGCTAGCCATTGTTGTTGCTGCTGTTGTTGTGGTTGGTTGGCTGGCTGGCTGGCTGGTTGGTTGGCTGGTTGGTTGGTTGGTGGGTTGGTGGGTTGGTGGGTTGGTGGGTTGGTGGGTTGGTGGGTCGGTGGGTCGGTGGGTCGGTGGGTCGGTGGGTCGGTGGGTCGGTGGGTCGGTAGGTCGGTTGGTCGGTAGGTCGGTTGGTCGGTTGGTTGGTCGCTTGGTTGTTGTTGGGTTTCTGGCATGGCATCCCCTGAGACTATGCAAGGAGTTAGCATTGGCAAAAGTGTTGGCAATAGCTTTGGCAATTTAAAGTTGTGTTTTAGTGTTGTATTCTGACTGTTGGGCCGAAAAGGGCTCCTTCAATCAGAGGGGGTTCTAGGAGGTGTGCCAAAAAAGTTGAGAAGGTGTTCGTTTTACCAAACATTGTGGGCGCCTTCAAAGTAGTATTGGCTGGGAAAACCGGGTGTCTCGAACCAGCTAAATATGAAGTACCATAGACCTGGGCCCAGAGGTCTCTCAGTCCGAAGGAGATGTGGGGGCTGATCAATATTCCGTTCGGCCCCCATATTATGAGTAACTGTTCCCATGTGGTGAACGTCGTCTTTTTGGTGGGTTTCCCCAATGGTCATCCCATGTAAAATGGACCCTTTGATCAGCCCGCATGTTTTTTTCTCACTTCCACGTCCTTTCGCCAAAAGGCAGAAGCTGAGGTTCTATTTGCAAACGCTGAACAGCAACTTCTCCATCCTCGGTGACTTCTACACGAACATGGTCCAGGCAGAGGTTTTGTTTCTTCCCCGTTTGATCTCAGGAACAGCCTAAAAAAGGTGCTTTCGGGTTTGGAGCTTTGAACCTGTGGAAAATGCGCAAAAAGAGAACAAATGGGTCCAAAGTGGATCCTCAAATTGAACCTTTACATGGTGGGCTAAAGGGAAACCACGCGCCAAAGTACAATTTTGGCGAGTCATAAATAGGTTTGACAAGGAGTTGACCTACGGCTATCGGAGCACAAAAATGAACCATGGTGCAAACATCATTGTGTTCAAGTGACCATGGCTATCCAAGGTGAGCTTTGACAGATCAACTCCGCAGATAGTTTGTGAATCACCAGGCATGTTCTGCATAAGCTGAGCCTGGCTGACAAGGTGCAAAGGTCCAAAAACGGTTTGCGAATCGTGTCTCCAGGAGATTTTCTCCAAACGCGCACCGGTACTTTTGTTCAACCGAATTGAATTCGGGGACCCCAAACGGAGAGTCAGGGGTCAGTTAACAGTCCCCTTCTGGCCTTAAGTTGGCTCAGCGGCCAGGAGAGAATGTGGCTCGCAATGATGTTCCTTGCTTTCTGGACTTTTTGGATGGGGAGGGGATACCCCTTTCAAATCAACCAAAAGAGTTTGTGGCGTCCAAAACAAAGAAACGAAGTCCACGAGTACCGAACACATGCGAAGTCTTCCAGGCGGCCGGGGCGGCGGTGCGGGTCTTCGAGCTCTGCGAGCGCCAGGCGGAAGGCCCATCCGCTGGGACCTGCGAGGCGAGCGGAGCTTTGACGGCTCGTGGATTTGTTTTTCATCCAGGCGGAAGCCACTTCGCTTTGCTGAAATGAAGAATCCGTTTTTTGTTTTTCTCCCTTGTTGGTTTGAAAGGAAATCCACCACTGCTGAAATAGTCTTGTGTTTTCCAGCGGGGGAAAAAGGAAAATGGAAGACTATGGTACTGTGGATGGTTGCAAAATCCGCTCACGCACCACCTAGCCTCTTTTCAACAATGGAGAGGACAGAGGTTTTCCGCAAAAGGAAGCTTTCGTCTTCCAACACCCTTCTGTCAGCTTCCATGATGGTTGGAGGGAGGGCAAGAAACCCTGGTTTCTGATTCGATTCCCCAGTAAATACCCACAAGCCATGACTTTCCAATATGGCTTCATTTCGTGGTGGGGATTTCTTTTGTCCCAGTAGGTAACAAGGGGTTTCCCACCCGATGGAAAACCCAAAAGGTTGTGATTTTTTTAAAGTTCTTTTTTAATGTTTTCATTACTTCTGTTTTTCCGATTCGGATTTACGATTTGAATACGACTCCTGTAACATTTATGTTTTTGTTGCTCTCTTTTTTACACATTGGACATGCACTTGAAAGGAAAAAGGAAAATGGATCGAAGTGCGCACTTCGATCCATTACCTATAGTGGCTGAGAATGAACTAACATCGGTGAAAGTTTTGAAAGACTCGACATGAGACATCTGAACAGTTTGCTGTGCACCCCGGATGTGGGGAGCCGGGGAGCCAGTTGCCCAGTTGGTGTGTTTGATTGTTTTGTTTTTGGGGGGTGTGTTTTTTTTGTTTCTGTGCGGGGGGGATTCCTTCGAGTAAAGCAACCAAGAAAAGGGTGGGGGTGGGGGCGGGGGGTGGATTGTGTTTCGTGATCTGATGTCAACCCACTGACTTAAAGGACAACAAGTGTTGACACGGCGAAACGGACCCCTGAAAGACATGTATCGTGTATCAACCAAGGGCCTTACCTTCAAGAGAAGGTTCTCACGGCTCAACGGAAGGAACCCCGAGAAGCGCCAAACCAGTCTGGAGTGGGGTCTCCATTTGGGGCTACAGGAGCACCCTTTTCAAAATTTGGGTTCGATGCTAATGCGAGAAGTTGGATGTTTTCAAAAAAGGCAAGGGCGACCTTTTGGATGGTGTGACAAGCCAAAGCACATAGAATCTGCCCATGTTTGGAAAATCGAACGCGCTCAGTCTAAGAGGTGGTTGTATGGTTGGCAATATCCTTTCCGAGTTTCACATACAACTGCACAATTTGGAAATGGCAAGTACACTAGAGTGGCTACGTGTATGCATCGCAGGTTGTTATGAACGGGGGGTGGCATGGGGGGGGGGGGTCGCAACGAAACGGTGCAGCCCGAACCCAAGCCTTGCAATTTGTGAATGCGAAACCAACGGACTCCAAGCCGCTTGGTCGCTTTGCTCACGTGCCCTTCAACGACTAAAATTTGCATTTGGCCCTCCCTGAGCTCCAGGACTTGAGTCACAAACTTCCGGAAGTTGCCTTGAAAGCAACCAGCTTCAGCACCGAGCTTCACATAATTTTTCGGGTTTGCTCGATCGAGCAAGGCGTTGGGAGTGGCCAATCTGACGGAAAAAGAATGAGGGCCCATGAAATCGAAGGTCCTGGCACCCTGGTCGCTCCCGATTTCGCGGCTCGATCTGTGTCTATGGCAACACGTGTTTGTTCTCCTCGCAGAGGTTCCGGATCAGCTTTGATTAGGACGAACCAAACCAGTGGCCCATTTCACCAGGAGACTTGTTTTGGGTTGAAGTCTACCGGGCAAGGAGTCGAACAGCATGGAAGCTCGCTTTTGCTCGAGAAAGCAATTTGGGGCGTCCAACTCAGCGAGTCTGTCCGCCCCGCAGAAAGCGGCAACCAAGAGTTGTGGTAAAAATGATTCCCCTTTTATTCCCTTTTTGAACCCACCCCGAGCAAAAATGACCTCAGACAAAGGACGGCATTCCATGTTGTCAGGACAGTCGAAAGTCAAGGTCGCACAGCGCCAATCCGTTTTGTGTTTGTGTCTGTTTGTGTTCTCGAGGTACCCTCTTTGCGGCTGTTTCAAAGGGAAACCGAAGGAAACCAGTCATTTGGGGTGGTCCAAGTCCCTTTTTATGACGCATGCTGAAGCATGTCCTCGATAGAAACGCCACAGGTCTCGGCAGAGAAGGGCGAGCTGCGGCTCCGCAATCTGCACTTCTCCTACCCAGCCCGGCCCGAGGCGGCCGGTCAGAACGAGAGAGGACATTCCAACCCAACAACTGCTTTTTGAACAGTACCAAGGCGGGAAAAAGCAGGTGTTGGGGGGTGCAGTTATGCCACATTTTGAGGTTCATTTGGGGATGTCACTTTCAGGACGGAGGTGGGTTTGGTTCAAAGTGTTTAGACCCTCTGTGGGTCTTCGAAAGAGGCGATTCTGCAGCACCGAAACCAACAATAAACACAATCAGATGTTTCACCTACACACAGGTGCCCTGCTCGTAAGGCTCGTAAGCCTTGTGGGAAGAGTTGGAACAAGAGGCTTGTTAGTGTGTACGTGATACCTTGGGAGCGGTAACTGAGACTTCCTGGAATCAGAGTTGTTTCAGCATTGCCCCTCCCCCCCAGTGTAGATGCTTGGGGGCTATTTCGCCTATGCACCTGTTGGAACGAGGTACTAGGGTGTGTGACCCGCCCAAATTAGTGGTTTTCCTTTTGGTCTCCCTTGAATCGATTGAAAGACAAACGGTGACCTACGAAAAACTCCACCAAGGCCCCTCACCCTTAAGGCCCGAGGTTTTCGTTGGCGAGCAAAGAAAGTTGCTCGACATGTAAAGGTGTTGAGGCTTTGGCCAGGCACTAGAGGGACCTGTCTCCATGGCGGAAAACCAGTCCAATTGAGCGGGGGAGGTGGTTTCTGGGCGGACTGCCGTGGATGGTTGCGAAATCCCTGCACTTTGCCACAAAATGAAGGATGGTGCATGATGTTGTTCATCTACAGTGGCTGCGTGGTAGTTGTTTAGTCATTTCTACTGCCTCAGGGGTGAGTTTTTGCTCCGTGGGGGGGACTCACTGGGGCACTCACTAATTGTCCCATGGCCTGTTGGAGAAACAAGTCATGGCTGAGTAGTTTTCTTTGAGCCAACCCAGAAGAGCTTCTTTCCTTCCTGCTGCTCAATATTTGTCCGGACCTCCAGCACTGCCCTCTGTAACTTTTGGTCGGAGGCGGACTCACTTCAAAGTCAAGTGCCACACTGCGGAGTTTACCGTCTTTCCTTTGGAAATCCATTGATCTCGATTCGAGTTCTTTGCACCGATAGGGAGCCGTCCTAAGCAAGATGTGGTCAACGCAAGGGTCAAGCAGGATGCAGATGCCAATGGGCCATTGGTACAGGGCCCCCGTTTCCTTTCCGTCCAAACCTGAAAGAAACGCTGTGTGTAGGGTGTCCCTTTTCAGGAGCCATTGCTTTTGTGCTCTCAAACGTTCCTCATACTCAGCTGAAATTTGTCCCGGAAATCATTGGAAGTGCCATCCCAAGCGATTCAATCATTTCTTCAGGACACCGAAAGCTCAATACACAGGCTCACCTGAGCCACAATCAAAACCCGGTTAGAAGGTTAGTAAGGGCCAATCCCAGCCATAAATGGGTGCATCCGCCTTGCAACCTGTCCTTACGTGGATTTGGGCAGACCAGTTTAATGCCGATCGATCTTGATTGTCAGGTGAAGATCCTGAAGGGCCTGAATCTGGACATTCCCGGTAGTCAGGTGGTTGCGCTGGTGGGCCCATCTGGCAATGGCAAGAGCACAGCTCCTGGCACAAATCGGACTCGAACGGTGGCAATTCCTTGTCTTGCTTGTTCAAGTGGGTGGCAATTAGCTTGTTAGATTTGTGGGGTTTAGTTGGGGTGTTCCTTGCTGCCTCTCACCAGTTAATGAGTTGGAATGAGCCCTAGCAAAACCATCCTCTATGAGTTCCTCGTTTGCGGGAATTCCCTTCCGGTTCATTCCCACTCGGACTCGGTCACTCCTATCGCACCGGCACACTTTGTTCGACCCCTTCAAAGCAGATCTTTGCAACTGAAAACTCTGCGCCCTTGCCGGTGTCGGTGTATTTGTGCGTGTGTTTGTATCCGTGTTGGCGTGTTTCAATGTGCTTGTGTGGGGGCTTTGTGTGTTTTCGACTGGGGGTTCCCTCCAAGTAGAGAAGAAGAAAAACACGCTCATGGGTTTCCAACATGATTTGTTTGGGTAAAGGGTAAGTTTGCTGACGTCACCTCAGTGCACCAAGTCTTTTCGCTTGGAGTTTCTCAAAATGGGGATTGGACACCGCAAACTCTTGTAGCTGGTCTTGGTTTCTGTTGGTTTGATTTTGAACATGCGGACCGGGGTTCCATCAGATTCAATTGACACCCCGGTGGTTACGTTTCAGCTGGATGCCTTTTGCTGCCCTGTGTCTGAGATTTGGAAATTCGTTTCGACTTTCAGAAATCCGCCCGAGTCAAAAACAGACACTGATTGCTGTCTGTATGCAGAGGAAGAGGAGGAAAAGGGAGAAGAAGGAGAAGGAGAAGGTCATGGATCCGTTGGGTTGCGATTCACTTTGCATTCGTTTGTTCTGAGTCGCCCACTGGGGGCAAAGCAACTGTTCCAGGGATAGCGCCCTCATACGATCTGGTTGGCGACCTTGGCATCCCTGTCAGATTGGTGAAGTATTATATTTCACCCACATTGTCATACATTTACTGTTGTGATACTTCCCTGTCCTTGCAAGGCTGTTGCTACCACAATCGGCCAATATCGGCCATCGCCAAAAGTAATTTCCCGACTTTTCTGTTTCCCAGCTTTCATCTATGTTGAGCCATTCATACAGCCCAACCGCTTCCAGATACCCAACCACTAGAAACAGGACATCGTCGTTGCTGGCATTTCTATAGACAGATTCTTTAAGGGTATGGGCTCGCAGATTCTCGCGCCGTTTTCTGGCGCCCCAAAGGCAGAGGGAATGCCAACATGAAACCAACCCCTGACTGTTTTGTATCAGCCTGAAGCTGAAGAGCCTTCTTCCGAGGTCATCGGTCTGGTGAAGCGTCTCTACCACGCCTCCGAGCCCAAGCTGCAGTCAGGGGGTTGTGGGCACGAAGCGCAAACCCAAAGGCAGACACCTGGTGAACGGGTTTCCGTTGGTTTCGCTCGGCTTCTGCTTGATTTCCCTTAGTTTTCTTTTTAGGGTTCCCATTTTCTATCTAGATGCCCGAACAAAGCATCTGAAGTGTCGAGGTGCCTGCAGGTTGTGAGGCTGGAAGCGATCGAGCTGAGGTCGTAGCTGAAGTTGTTTGTTGGTGGTTGTTCCGTAAATGATGACCTACTTCCTGCAGATGTATGTGGAACTCCAAAATGGGTTCCCCCCCAATGCAGGTTTCTCTATACGTGAGGCTCTTTGGGCTTCCACGCTGCAGGGGAAGAACAGTGGAACTGGACCAGATGCCTATTAAAGTACTCCACACCCCTAGACATGTGTTGCAGAAACAATGACACGACGATGACACGTGTCACAGAAGCGATGACATGTCAGAGAAACGATGTTCTGCTGGCTGCCAACTATTTTGCCCCTTGTATCAATCATCGCTTTCAAATAGCAGCGAACCGTTCCCTCGGTTTAACTTTCAAGGGAGGCTTTGCGTGGCGGGGGTTTCTGCCCACGTTCGGAGGCTCCTCTTAAGAGAATCGTCCAGTCAGCTTCCATGGGGAGGGTAGATCTTTTTGGATTGATTCGAATGGACCTCCAAATATGCATCCCACCTGCGCAAATGCTTGCAACCTTACGGAGCAAGGGGCAAGACGATGTGTCAAGTGAGGTGGACGAAGTAGAGTGATTCGTGCAGATTCCAAATCGAGCATCGTCTTGGTTTATATGCCGGAGAAAGTGCTCACCACAGCATGTGCTGCCCTTTGGGCAAGCGACGGTGTTAGATGTTACTCTTTCGCTAGAGGTGCTCTGGATGTCAAGACATACCGGCTTATACAAGAAAAGTATCTTTGCGCAGAGTTCCTAGTTCCTTTCTTCTTTGCGTCCAGAGAAGTGATCTACAACAATTAGTATCCCAATCATCGCTTGAGGGTAAGTGCGGAGTGGCACCAAGAAATATCACATCGAATAAGACAAAATGTGCACATTCCCTTCCGGGGCTTTGACTGGGGCAACGGTTTCAACAGGATCATCAATCGGTCTGGCTGCTTCGCCTTCTGTTGGATCGCTAATTCCATGTTGTGTTTGCCCCTTGGCGAGAAGAATGAAGCCATATTTGTTTTGCAAATCCTAGTTGTAGGGTTGAACAGTTGAGGAACAAATCGAGTGTAACAATCGCCACCTCGTGCTGCTACGGTCCCATGGTAGAATCGGATCCCTGGAAAAAGAGTGGGAAGCTGTGGAGCGACGAAGCATTGATCCCTTGCCTATTTGCTGTTGGTACAAACAGCGACCTCATTTTAGTCTCTCAGGGACCCTACCACCCCCTTCCACAGACGGTAAGGTCTTATTGGCATGGAACCTCCGCAGAAGTTGGTGGATATGAATCCTGGCGTAAATGATGTCCATCAAAGGCGTGCCTATGACAATTCAGCCCTATGTTGCCCTGTTTGGCCTTAGGTTGCCTTGCTTGGCCTTTCTATTTCCCTTGAATAAGGCGTATTAGCACCTTGCCATTGAGGGGTCTTGGGTTTGTAGGAGGTGCTGAAAACGGGCGGTGTTCGTTTTTCGCCAACGCTTTCAGCGTGAGATTCCAAACCAAGCTGGCCTGGTTGGGTGTCATGTTGGCACTCAAAGGAAACCGCAAGGGGCCCCTAATATTTACTCACCTCGGCTTGGGCTCTTGTCACTTGGGTTACAAGATTCGGACTTCTTTTGCCGAAGCTCGTAGAGGTAACCAAGTTGCGTCACTGGCCGCAAGGCTGGTCAAGGTCGCTTATTCCTCAAATCCCCATCCATGCTTTGGGAGGCTCAACATCCGTGGGGGCCTGTCTTTTTTAGCTTGCGGGAAACAATGTAAAAGCAGGGCGAAGCCTCATCTTCAGTTGAGTCACAATCAAAACCCGGGTAGATGAAGGTTAGTAAGGGACGATCCCAGCCATAAATAGCTGCGGATATCCGCCTTTCCAATTCCTTACATGGTTCTGGGTTCACCATTTGGGTGTGGGTCAAAATTAAACCACCAGACCACAGGTTTTGGTAACCCATTTTGGGATTACCCTATTCTTGACCCACAGCCATTTTTGTAGGTTTTGCTTATGACTCACTTGGGGATGTCGATCGATTTCTTCCTCGATCCCAGGAAGGGGAGATCACGCTGGATGGTATCCCGAGCCTTTGCCCACACGGCATGGCTCAGGTTGAAGCTCTGGGGTCCTTAAAACAATGGTTCTGTTGTTTAAAGACCGAAATATGAAGCAGGAGTCGGAAATTGTTGTGTCCTTTTTTTCGGGGACGCCGAAAATGGTGGTGTTCCTCCCGGTTTCGCTTCAAAACCACCAACAAAGGGGCATGAACAGGGAAAATCCACCCATTCGTGTGAGGGGTGTTGCTTCGAGTTGGGCCGAGGTGGTATTGTCCTTTCGAGCCGGTCCCTGTAGAATCAAGCTGTGCATGCATGACTTCATGTAGAGTCAGACAACAGAGCAAGTTGGCTAACTTTAGAATTTACCCAACAAGCAATGCCCGTGTTTCCTTTTCGAGCCAACCAGCAAGAACCTGTCGTGTGTCTGTGTAGATTCTGCCTACAATAAGCTTCTACTTTGGAATCAACCTGCCAAAAAACCAGGTGTCCATGTTTCCCTTGGAAGAAGGTGTACAGTTCTCAGAGTCCACAAAAGCTGGAAGTCCATTCTTTGTTCTGGGCAGCCACTGGCAGTTTGATCTTTTCTCAGACAAAAAGGGAGTCGACACGCCCAGCCAACCTAAGGGCACAAACCCCGTGTCCAGGTCCCTTTTCAAGGGCTAAAGGCAAAATGTCGACCAAGCTGGCTCAGGGTGATGTTTGACCCTGAAATACCCAAGTCCCGGGTAAAACGAATGTCCTCAAATCCAAAAGAAAGCATCCCCCCTCCCATGGAACGCACCCCCAAAATGGCTTCGGGATTCCTGGTGTCCTGTTAAACCGCCTTACAAGGGTACCCTCAAAGAACACTTCTCCACTTCCCCACATCCCCCAGTGGGTTGCTTGCCTTTTTAGCCTTGTTTGGCGAGGGTTCCCTTGAAAACAAACTACCGACAAAGCGTGCCTTTGCTTTTTCCCATGGAAACCACTTGCCAGCCAGCCCTTAGTTGGTGATTTGGGTTTGGATATGAAGCCCTGGTTTTTGCAACATTGAATGGGAACCTCCTCCTTAACCGCCAAACCACCGATTCGGCTCCAAACTACCAGAGGGAAGCTGACCGATGTCTGCAAGGATCTGGGACTACTCCCACGCCCATTTCCACCGAGTGATCTCTATCGTGGGTCAGGACGGGATCGCCGCTCGCGTTGTGCTCGCCGCTCGCCTGATCTGCTGATTTGGGGTTCCCTTTTTGCGGGTCTGGGCACGCTCCAAAATCATAAATATGTGACAGCAAGTGAAAGCCAAACATGTTTCAAGCGGCTCGGTGCTTTCTTTTTGGGTCTAGTCGGGCAAGCAGGTTTTCAGAGATTGCCAGGCTTGACCAACGACCAAGCCACTCAAGAAACGAGACGGGCGAGGAAACCAAGCACTAGTTTTGCTCGTGTTGACCGGAAAACAGACACCAGATAACCAGGTAGTTATTTGTTTTGTCGTTACCCATGTCCTAGTGGTTTGAAAGTCCATGTCCAATTATGCTGTCCGGTGAGAAAGCTGTGGATTGCCGCATTATGCACCGGATAGACCACCTTCAGGGTATTGTCGGGCATTCCCGTGTTGAGTTCGCTCTTGGCAGCACCCCGTTTCGTGAGCACGCAGGAAGCTTCTGCTTGGCCTTAGCAGTTCCGAGCACAGACCGAGCGCAAAAACACGAGAAGGAGGCATTTCCGAGCTTGGCCTTTTGACCCCCTCTTCAGGTTGTAAGAGGGCCTTTTTTTTACGGGGAGATGTGTTTGTTTGCTCAGTCCTATAGGTCAAAAAGGTGCAAATGGCCAGCGCCTTTCATATGCTGTTCACGCGGCCCGCTTCAGCTATGCTTCAACCATGCAAAACCAAACAAAGGCAACGGCTTTTGAACAACTGACCTTGGTTGCTTTTCAACCTCCACGCTTTTGGGTTGTCAACAGAGGCCCTCTTTATCGCCGGCACCTTGACCGGGGCCGACACCCAGTCCCCCCCCCCCCCTAGATAGTGCAGAACGCCAGAAACATCCGCCGCGCTGACTTGGCTAGGAGCCCGTGCTCTTTGCGCGCTCGGTGCGGGACAATATTCTGCAGCTGAGACCGCAGAGTTCTTTCTGTTCGACTCTTTCCGGGGGTCAGCAAACTTGAGAGACTGGGGCAAATTTCCCTGACCACTCTCAGGGTGGCTTTGGACATGTTATTTTCTTCCTTCTCTTGGGGGGCCTAAATCCACAATTCAATGAGGTAAACCGCCCACGGCAATCCAGAAGGTTTGTTAATCGGGGGCCGACATTAAACCTACTGGGGATGGACAAAATGCAGCGCCAGCGTGGAGAACGCCTTTCAAATATTGAGGCAAACTACCTGGTTGGCGCAGGATTCTGTCCGTACCACTCGGGGGGCGAATTTTGCAAACGATCAATTTGGATCACACCCTTGCGCCACTTTTTGGGCTGCGTTTCGAACAATGCACCCAACCCCTTGGTCCTTTAAGTGAAGCATTCCGTTATCCAAGAAACAGAATACAGAGGAAGCCCATATTAAACGCATTGCCAGCGATGGGGCCCACAATCAGAGACCATGATAGTATTGTCCGTTGCGCACATGCTCGTGCGAAGCATTAGGGTCCTTTTGTGTGGCCAAGGGGATCTCCTGATCAAGTCATGGGGATGGCCCATCTTGCGTCACAGAACCGCGATGAAACAGAACCACGGCTCACGGAGCGCCGCAAAGGGAAAGTGCTTCCGTACGTAAGGGAAAGTAAATGCCTCAACAGCTCCTAAACCAGGCGATTCGCAAAATAGTACATTAACATATACCATGCGTACATGCACATATGCACATGTATGTTCATACCTAGACAGGTTCATAGATAGATCGGCAGGTTGGTAAATAGATAGATCGGTAGGTAGGTAGATAGATGGACGCATCATATGTATACATATATATGTATACATATGTATATACACATTATGTATACATATGTATGTGTGTGCGTGTGCGCAAGTATGGCAAGGTCACCAAAAGCTTGCTTCAGCCTCTGATGAAGGTCCCTCAGGGATTCTTGGATTTCGGTCAGTGAACTGTGGTGCTCGGTGAGTTTGCGTGCACTGGGCAGAGATACATTTGCCCTTTCAAGAAACAGGGCCCTTTTTTAAAATGTCAGTCTCATGGAGCCAGAGAGAGGAAGTCACTTTGGAGTGTTCGTGAATTGCACTGCTGCGAGTGGCATCCTTTTCTTGCTGTCTTTCTTTCTTGTTTGTTGTTTTGTTTCTTTCTTTAGTGTGTTCTGTCCGTTTTATTTGTTCGAGTGGGTTCCTTGAAGATAAACTTCCAACACAAGAGGCAAATCCGAGTCTTGAGTTTTTATAATTATTTTTTTGGGGGGGAAACGACAGGGAAACCATTGAAAGGGTAACTGTTTGTTTCTATATTTACCTGTTGCGGTCATCTGATCTGAGGAGTGTCACTTTCACAGCGCCGCTTAAGGGTTAAGTTTTGTCTCCGGGATCTCTTTAAACTAATTTTGCAGGCTCACTAGTAGACTAGAATCCATCATGTTACTTTCGGGGCACAAAAATCCGGAGGTGTTGTGGAAATCCCCGGGATTCGGTTTCGTTTCCTAAGGCTGGGCTTGGTGAATCCCAAGCAAGTGGCGGGGGAAAGGATCCCGGAGCTGCCTGGATGCACGGGCCTCGGAGCGAGCGAACGAACAGGACGAGGCAATTGTCACTAGCAGCTGGTTCACCCAGGCTTGAAGCCTCCAAATGGCGGGAGTGGGATTGTACCAATCAAAAAAGTGCGTCCGTGGTTTCCCATGAAGATTTGTTCCACCCGAGAAAAATGTTGTTTGGTGTTTGAGATCAGGGTGCCGACTTGAAGGTAGCCAAAACCACCATGGAGAGCATTCCGCATGTCCAGATTCGTGGATTGCCTCTTGATGCAAGGGGCCTCGGGCATCTGCAGAGCTTCTTCTTCTACCAGGGTGGCTATGCTGTGGATGGTTTGGGAGGGATGAAACCCGAGAAAAATATTGAGATAAACCGCGAATCCCCCAACTGGTGGCGATCAGCGTGGATTGACAATCAACCAACCCCTGTCCCATTTATAGCCACTACCCACTAGATAGGTTGAGCAGAAACCACCCAAATCAGTGGCGGCTGACTTTCGGTGTGGTTGTAAAGGGAAACCAAAAAAGAAGCAACCCGTTGAGAATGTGATGTAAGCCACGATCAAAACTGACTCCCGATGCTCTGCGCGGTGTGGCTTCTGGGCCATTGTTGTGGAGAATCGGGTGTGTTGGGGCCACTTTCCTGTGACACCAAGAATTCCCTTGACAAAGTGCTCACAGGTCACAGATTTCAGATCACTTCCTGCCATGCTGTGTCTGAAAAAATAGTTGCGAAGCCTCTTTATGGCGTGGATACTTTGTGCTTTATGGCGTATTTTCAGTTGGTCTGCTCTGCGGCAGCTCTTCTTCTGTTCCTTCAACAGTTTCAACACAGAGCCGTGAGCAGACCAGAAAATTCGGCCCGCCCAGGCCAAGACCTGGCACAGAAAGACATCGAGGAGCTGGTGCCTGGGCGAAAGAGCATTTTTAGCAACGAGCGCCCAACGAAACTGGGGGCCAAGAAGATGCCTTTGTTGGACTCGTGGGTTGCTTTCTCTTTCTTGGCTTGCGAGTTTTATCTTCAAGGTTTGAAGTTGGCAGATTTCGCAGCTCTAAAAGTTATGATTGGGAAAAGGGCTGATGGCTTCTTGAAAAAACACGACCAAAGCTTGGTCGGCATCACTTAACTCACTCGCTGCGACCCAGGCGCGCAAGGCGAACGCCCACGACTTCATCTGCGCCATGCCGCAAGGCCCAATGCAAACACCGGATTGGCTGACGAATGGCCATAGGCTTTATTGCAAGAAAAAAACAAGGGAGATGTGCTTGTTTTGTCCAGCTAAGCAAAGTGCCTCAGGTTCCCTCTGACTCTGATTGGTGGTTCAAAAACCATGGCGGATTCAAACCTACAAGAACCAACTTTTCAAAGCCTACCACCAATGCAAACCCACCAACTAAGGGTTACCTGGATGATGAGGCAATTTGCTTAGCTGGAGAAAACAAACACAAACCACACCCATCGCTGTTGTTCTTGTTTTTGTAAACTGTGGATGGAGGAAATCCATTTCGCACCACCTAAGAAACCCCGGAATGATTCGAATCCCCTGTAAATACCCACTAAATTCAATGGGTGTCAACCATGGAGACCCCAAGTGGTGCGAGAAGTGGATTTCGCTTTTCCATCCACAGGTGCCCTCCCACAGGTGCTATGTGAGGCAGAGGAGCCTTAGCAGCGGGTGACCTTTAGGTGTCTAAACGTCTTATTCTCAAGTTTCCTACTTACATACTAAGTAAGGTTAAAAAAACGCAAAAGGGAAAGCCACAAGTATGTTGGTGTCCCTTTTACGTTTTCACCCTTAGTTGGCAAATGACAAACTTAGCGGGAAGCGACCCGGAACTTGTTGGCTGGAGCTATGGGAATCGGCTCAAAAAATGGCCAAAGCTCACTTCGGGCGGGCTACGAGTCGGCAGGTTTTGGGAAACCAAAAGCAAACCACACACGCCCAATAGTTCATTTAACATGAACTACGCAAAAGAAAAGAGGGCCCCTTGGCTTATTTCCACTGGGGTTTGCATGACCAAAGGAAACCAGCCATATTGGTGTTGTGTCCTCTTTGAACAATCCTGAGAAGGGTATCAACTCAAAACGGGCAGACCTCTAAAGGGGAAACTATCTTCTCCAACCCCAAGATAGAGGAG